GATAAGTGGACTTCCTGGTAGGAGACCAATTCCTGAAAATTTAGTCGATGAGAACGTTTTTTCCAGCAGTAGGTCTATGATGAAGTTAAACAGCAAATGAGAAATCGCGAAATATGATGAATTTATGTCATTACTTTACAACGTTAATTATTCTTGATTAGGTCAAATTTATTAATGGGAAAAATCGTATGAAACCAGATATACTTTGCTGTTAATTAATGACAGGACCAATGAAAACTTACACTTGTTTTAGCTTGTGAATTAGTTTTCCTTTGCATAGAGATTAGACCAGTAACACCGGAAATATCTTCAATTACTGAACATATTGATCTTAGTTTCTTAGCAGATAATAACCAATCATTAAGAGGGCCTCTTGATCCACCTGGTAATTCAACATATCTTAAAGGATATCGTAACAATTCTTTAGGTGGAATATCTTTTTGATATAACATGTTAGTATGGCGAAAACGTGTTAATTCTGAATCTAAATGTTCAATTTCTTCTTGTGTTAAATTATTTAATAAATGATCAAGTTTAAGCCATCGACATAATATACGCGGTAATGAAGTAGTGATTGTAAGTCTTAAATATAAACCAAACGGTATACCACGTAAAACTTCACCGATTAGAAACCAACCCCTATTCATATCTACAAAGGAAATATGTAAGTTGTGAAGTATTTGGCAAACTAAACAATAAATTATATATATATATATATATATATATATATATATATATATATATATATAATATCGTAAAAATACTAAGATCAATCAAACAATTAAGAGCTAAATATAAGGTGACAGATACCAAAAGTAAAATATGAACTTTTGAGATATAAATAAAATTTAATTTAATTTACAATTGTTAGAAACTACACTTGAGTACTTACTTACGCCTGTTACCTCTCATGGAGGAGCATGGGGCGCTTACCAGCATTTTTCATCGAACTATGTCCTGAGCAATCTTTTCCAGTTCTTTCCAGTCCCCATTCATCATTTTTATGTCTGTTTCCGATTCCTGAAGTAATGTGTTCTTTCGTCTTCCTCTTTTCTGTTTCCATTCATAATTCCAAGTTAGCGATGGCTTTGGATGCAGTTTGATGATTTCCTCAATGTGTGTCCTTTCCACTTGCAACATTTTTTCACAATCTCCTCATCAGCTTGAAGCTGGTTTGTTCTCTCCCACAGTAGGTTGTTGCTGATGGTATCCGGTCAGTAAATGTTTAGTATTTTGCGTAGACAACTGTTTATAGAAACTTGTACCTTCTAGACGATGGTTGTAGTAGTTCTCCACGTTTCAGCTCTGTACAGTAGAACTGTTTTGACGTTCGCATTGAATATTCTCACTTCGATGTTGATTTACGAACAGTTGTTTTGAGTCCCATATGTTCTTCGGCTGTAGGAATGCTGACCTTGCTTTGCCGTTCCTTTCCTTTGTCTGCATCAGACCCTTCTTGTTCATCGACGCTACCCAGATACGTGAATGATTCAGCCTCTTCTATAGTTTCCTCATCAGGTGTGATTGTGTTGATGTTCTCCGTGTTGTATGTACTTGAGGGCCTCGCTTTTTTCCTTGTGTATGTTGAGGTCTACTACTACAGAGGTTGCTGCTACACTGGTTGTCTTGACTTGTATTTGCTGATGTGTATGAGATAGAAGGCTCAGGTCATTTGCGAAGTCCAAACCGTCTAATTGCATCCAACTTGTCCATTTCATTCCGTGCTTCCCCTAAGATGTCGCGGTCTTCATAATCCAGTCAATCACTAGAAGAATGAGAAATAGTGAGAGTAAGAGGGCCAGTCGAACACCGGTTCTCACTAGAAATGCGTTCATCAGCTGTCCTCCATGCACCACTTCGCACTGTAGTCTGTCGTATGAGTCCCGGATAATCTTTACAATCTTCTCAACTACTCATACCATAGAGTCGAAGAAGTTTCCATCATGTTCTCCTGTCCACACCGTCAAACGCCTTCTCATATTTGATGAAGTTGATGTATAGTGACGAGTTCCATTCAATTAATTTAGTCTGTGCACGATCGATACCTACGGAGTCCAGCCTTCTGACATCGAAGTTGGGCGTCTACTGAATTTTTCATCCGATTCAACCATACTCTGTTGAGAACCTTTCTTTCCTTGAATTTCAGTGATTGATTCCTTCCTAGTTGTCCTCCATAGTAGTTTCTGCTTCTTACAGTAAATCCTGTAAAGCTTGGAACCTGTTGTTGAGAGTTATCATGAATTCGTTCAGTTCGTCAATATCTCGAAGGAAGGATGTATTGATCATTCGTAATGCTGTTTGTCCAGTTTTCCAATGCCTCTTTAGCTTCAGTTTCATCTTGGCAACCACGAGGTGATGATCTGAAACTATGTCAGCTCCTCTTAAGGTTCTCAAGTCTTCCACTGACATTGTGAATTTTTTAGTGATGCAAATATGGTCTATCTGGTTCTGTGCAGTGCGATCCGGTGAGATCGATGCAGCTTTGTGTATGCGTTTGTGTGGAAATATTGTGCTTCTTATAACCAGTTTGTTTAATGCACATAGATTTGTGAAGCTCTCCCCATTCTCATTCTTTTCTCCTAGTCCATGTCGTCCCATGATATCTTCATAACCGTTGTTTTCCATTCCGACTTTGGCGTTTAGATCGTTCATCAGAAATGTTAGGTCGTTTATTGGGTACTTCATTATGATTGACTGCAGCCTCTCATAAAACTGATCTTCATCGTCCTCATCGCTATCATTGTTGGGTGCATAACATTGGATAACATTCATTGTGACTCCCTCCTTTTGTTTTGAAGGAGGCTTTGATGATCCTGGGTCTATGAGACTTCCATCCCATAAACGCATTTCGTGCTTCTTTGAACACCATTAGAGCAACACCCTGAGTGTGTGGAGCATTTTCCTCTTCGTGACCGGAGTACAGCAGCATCCCCCCCGTACTTAACCTTTAGTGTCTAGCTTGAGTCCAATGAGTGTCACTGATTCCGAGAACCACCATATTGTGCCTTCTCATTTCCTCAGCTATTTAATTGGTACTCTAGATCTCTTGTATTGTCCGGAAGTTCAATGTACCCATAAAAATTGTTGTTGTGATTGTAAGAAGAGGCATTAACCTCGTGATTTCCAAAGAATCTCGGTTTTTATCATGATGCGTGATTATTCTTCCCTTAAATTCCAGGGCAGTATTTAAATGGTTTAAATTGTCTATTCTGGTTAGCGTTTTTTAGCAAGGTTGTTTTCTACGGGATGGGACTGTCGACCCTATGCCCAACACTCCTCCTTTAGCTGGGCTTGGGAAAGGCAGTAGTCCTAAAAGAGCTACAGGCGGAGTTAAACCTACATGCTGATTAGATAGTTTTGTTTTGTTTTTACCTATGATCAACTTTTATTTTCGTGTTGATAAATTGTTCAAAAGTACTGCATCTTATTATTTATACTTCTAAAATGTAACACTCAGCTATGATATAGGGTATGATTGTATTGTGGTGTATGCTACTTATGTCTGTCGACACGAATAGTATGTAACACTGATCAGAAGTGGAATACCTGTCAAAAGAAGGTTGAGAGGAATGAACTAGAGATAACAGGAAGGGAAACATAGGGGAGTTGAGAATTGAGAGAATTGTGAAGGATATGAAGGACACTTGATGAAAAATTTTCAAATGAAGTATTTAATATATGGTTTCCGCATTTTACGAAAAAACTCTGTAAGTTTGCATAAAACAATAAATTAGTTGTCCCAACCTGAGTTCCCGTTCAATACGATATGACCAGTCATCCTACCTATTTGATTATTTTAATTAGAATGAATATGACTTGATAGTCATCCCAGTATTTAACTAATTAGCATTTTCGTCATTACATAGTGACTACAAATAGATATTTATATATTTCCTTCAATTCATCTTTATACAACCAGGTACTAAAACAACTAATGATTACTGACTGTATTAATCATTCTAGTGTCACTATCATTAAAGCAGTTATCTCAGCAGACATGAACACTCAGTAAATCCCGACTTTTACCTTTTAGTGGATCTAAAGGAGCTACATATCGACGCCAAGTATCGTCATCCACATAGACTGGAGGTTCACCTTTGGTCTATAAAACAAAAGATAGTATATGCAAATTAAATGAACTCAACACAAAAATGAAGCTGTTCGCGGATAATATTTAGTAGTGGATCGTTATGAAACCAAACACACAGCAGTATTTACGAATAGTTAATTGAATTTATCTGGCTACTAATGTACTTTCAAGAAGCAAATTAAGAACTTATTGTCTACGAGGGTATCTTAACGAACATTAAATATCATTAAGGCTTTGATTCCCGTTAAATTTGTGAATGAACACATTAAAAAGTGCTCTTAATTCCATCACCTAAGCAATAACCAATAATATTAGCATATAATTCGAAATTATAGTTAATAAACCCCTTCAACGACCTATGTACCAAACAATATTGATCTGCTATAGCTTATAAACCATAGAGAATTTCAATCTCGACCAACAAATACTCAGGAATATTGTAAACATATGTTTGAGAATAAAGGTGAGCTATATTTATTCTATGCAAAATGAGTGTACTACTTAACGGTCAGTAAAAAACACAAAACAAATAAAATTCATCTGAATAAAGTTTGTAGCAACCGAAAAAGTTTCAACGGACAGTTAATTTCTTCCTGGATTAAAGTCACAATTCGATATTCCCGCCCGTATATTTTTTAAGTTCATCTTTAAAAAAATACGACTGTATAGTCACGTTTAGTTTCGACTACTAAGCAATGGTTTACCCAGATTAGGAGAGAGCAAACAACAATGCCCTAGCCTAGGCAACAGAGTAAGTTTGAATCTATGATTTGAGGGCTGAGATACAAACAACTACAGATCCATGGTTATAAATCTTATGATTGAACGCTTGAATCGATTTCTTAAGCTCTTCTAATAACCCCAGGCTAACTATACACGACAACCTGAAGACGAGAGAAAAGACACGTAATATGGAAAAAACGCTTTATTCCAAGGTTAGTTTATGTGCAGAAAATCGAGGGTATTCATAGCATTTCAGATGGCCTTAGATTTCTGGAACCCTAGTAAACATGGAAGCAGGTTAGGTAATCATCCAATCAGAAATAAGACGTGACTCTCCACTTGTCGGATGTTTATGAAAGACTTCTGTTCAAAGCCCATTAGATAAAATATTTCCCAGTGTTTTTAGGGCCCCTTAGGGCCTTTTTTGAGGAATTTTCTGGGTCTCCCCAACACCCGGCTTGAAACGCTAAATTAAATTCGCAAGTATTCATTAAACGCTAGTAAAGTTATTAAATGGCCAAGAGTAAACCAAATGTGATATGTCGGAAGCGTTACGAATTCACTAGTAACGAACGGAACAAAGACACGTGACCAGAGACCGATAACTAGCTATACTGACGCGACCCAGACCCAGCTACTAGAGTAAGAAGTCCAAGTTGGAGCGGGGAAGTTATATTCCGTAGCAGCCAGAAGCACAGTAATCAAATAAGGGGAAAAGTCAAGCGTATTTATACAGCAACAATTTGTCCTTGGGCATCATTAGTAAATAGCACACATAAAGAAGCAATGGACCAATAGCGTTTAAGATAGTTTACAAGTGGGAAATATGACGTGAAGGTAAAAGAGCGCTTTTTGGCGCGAAAACAGCTAAATTCAAATTTTCAAAATAAAATTACAAGATTAAACCATTTACCAAGTAAGTTCTAGGGATTTAACATCCCTAACACCTCCCCCTTTAATAACGCACACTCTTCGGGTCCACTTGCATTCTGACTGTCTTTCGCCGTTGGCGCAGTGACCATCTTCGAGACCGTAGGTCGACCTTTTGTGTTTCTTCATGCGTTGGGACTGCCGGCAGATTAAATGTATCCAATAGTACGTCCAGCGGAATCTTTACTCCGGTCGATGGGCGCTCTAGCGTTAATCGCTTGCGTAGTTGATTTCGATGTCTGGTCCACCTGTCTGCTCCCACCTCAACCTCGTATATGACTTCTCCTATCCTTCTTACCACACGTGCTTCGATCCAAGGATCACGATTTGCTCTGTAGTCCCTAGCGAATACTGGGCATCCAACGTTGTACGTGGGTAGCTTCCGGGACGTGGTTTGTACTAGTGGTGGTGTGGTTTTCGGCAGCATCAAGTTGTGAATGGTCCTCAACCGTCTTCCCATGAGGATCTCTGCGGGCGACTTCTGCTCCGGCAGCGTGTCGTTGGGGGTCGTTCTGTAGGCGAGTAAAAAATTATACAGTGTTTCCACTGGCGTCCCCTCCCCTTTTGACTTAATCAGAGCTCTCTTGAATGTATCCACGAACCTTTCCGCTTGCCCATTCGATTGTGGGTGATAAGGTGGGGCGCGAAGATGCCTGATGGTTAGGCGTTTGCAGAATTCTTGGAACTGCGCCGAGGTGAACTGCGAACCGTTGTCAGATACAATCACTTCCGGTAATCCGTTTCGTGCGAACAACTCAGTCAGATGTTTCAGAGTCTGGGTGGTCGTTGGTGGATTGACGGGAACAATCTCCGGCCATTTCGAGAAGGCGTCGACCACGACAAGGTAAGTGGTTCCGTTGATTGGACCGGCAAAGTCGACATGTATCCTAGACCAGGGATGCTCAGGCTGTGGCCATGGAACCGGCGGCACCTTCGCATTGAACTTTGCAGCTTGTTGACACTGAGCACATTTGTTCACTAGATCCACGATATGCTGGTCCATGAGGGGCCAGTAAGCATAGCTTCTGGCGATGGATTTCATACGCTTTATGCCTGGATGACCAATGTGGAATTGCTTCAGCACCCTCGGTCGCAGGGATTCTGGCACCACCACTCTATCTCCAAACATCAAGCATTCACTTACAACACATAACGAGTCACGACGATGGTAAAGCTGCTTCATGTCACCGTCAAGTTTAGTTGATGGCCAGCCATGGGTGACGTAGTTCATCGTTTTCTTAATGATGGGGTCGTTTCTGGAAGCCGTTTGTATCTCAGATTCTGAGACTGGCAAAGCACGAACAGCCGTTATCAGGTAGCATTGTGCGTGGTCTTCTGTCGAAAGAGAAGCAATAACGGCATCTTCGTCGGTCGTAGAGTGTTCGCTGATGAGTCGTGACAATGCGTCTGCCTGACCAAAATGTTGCGTGCGTCGATACTGAATGTCAAAATCATAACCCAAGAGGATCAAGGCCCATCGTTGAAGACGGTTTGCAGAGTGGGCCGGGACGCCAGACTTCGAACCAAAAATTGCAAGGAGAGGCTTGTGATCCGTTAGAAGAGTAAATCTCCGACCATATAGAAACTTGTGAAAACGACGCACTGCGAATACTAGGGCAAGAGCCTCCTTCTCTATCTGGCCATACTTCTTTTCTGCTGGGGTTAATGTTCGGGATGCATGCATGATAGCTTTCTCTGTCGCGTCGGGGAACTGGTGTGAAATAACGGCACCGAGCCCAAAGGCTGAAGCGTCTGCGGCCACGATGATTGGCAAAGACGGGTCGTAGTGCGTCAATAGTAGTTCTGAACTAATAATTGTCTTTAGCTTACAAAAGGCATTTTCACATTCCTTTGTCCAGTTCCAGCTGGTATCCTTATTCAGGAGATAATTCAGTGGGGCGCGTATGTCATGCATCGATGGAACGAAGGCTGAGTAATAACTAACCAATCCCAGGAATGATCGTAGAGTAGAGATATTGGTAGGTGTGGGCATAGTTCTTATAGCTCGAATGTTCTCAGGATCTGGTCTGCGACCTGCAGCATCAAAGATGAACCCCAAATACTTCACGGATTTCAAGAAAAGCTGGCACTTTTCCGGGCGTAACCGGAACCCGTTGTCGCTGACGCGTTGGAGCACGGCTGTTGTGCGTTCCCGTAGCTGTTCCGACGTTGTGGCAACAATGAGGATGTCATCCAGATAAGTCGCGACCCCCGGGATACCTGATAGAATGGTATCCATTAGCTGCTGGAAAATAGATGGGGCGGTCTTGACTCCAAACGGCAGTCGATTATATTGGAACAGTCCACGATGAGTATTAATAGTGAGTAGCTCTCTTGATTCTTCAGCCACTTCTACTTGTAGGTAGGCATCAGCAAGATCCAACTTCGCAAAGTACTTTCCGCCATTCAGCATAGTGAACAAATCTGCCGGGACTGGCAGCGGATAATGATGCTGTTCTAGGGCTGCGTTGAGACCTGTGGAAAAATCTGCACATATTCGGATTGTACCATTAGCCTTCTTGATAACAACAATGGGTGCTGCCCATGCGGAATAAGAGACAGGAGTAATAACTCCTTCACGTTGAAGGCGATTAAGTTCTTCCTCAACTTTCTGCAATGCAGCATATGGTACTGGTCTCTTCGGACGAAAAACAGGTTTGACCCCAGGTTTCAATCGAAGCGTTGCTTTCATGGCTGAGCACCGACCCAAAACAGGTTGGAAGACGGTCGAAAACTTCGTAACTAGTTCCTGTGAATAGGCTTCCGGGTCATGGGGTTGCTTTACTAGTTGATACACAGTGTTTAACGGGACGTCTGCTAAATGCAGTTGGTCAAACCAATCTAATCCAAGTAAATTAAGATCAACCGGTGCAATGTAACATACCCCAGCGAACGTCGAATCGCGGAAAGACACTTCACAATGTAGTTGACCTAACAAACGTAAGTAACTACCGCATGCTGTACGAGGTTTTTGTGTTGTTGACACCATACGTGGTCTGCCCATTTTAATCCAAGATTTTCGTGAAAGAATTGTCACGTCAGATGCTGTGTCTATTTGTAATCTAAATGGGTGCCCGTTAATAATAATGGTAATAAATTTTCTCTCACCTGGAGTTGAGTTCTGACAGGATGATACAAGACTCAACGAATTTGTACGCGGCTTGGGAGCAGACTTTTTAGTACTTTTGGGGCGATTCGACTTTTTATTTTCGCAAAACCCATCTTTGTGGCCCACAGCTTTACACTTCCTGCAACGATGTTGTTTGTACGGGCAGCTTCGAACATAATGCCATGCACCACAGTGCCAGCATGGAGCAGGAGGATTCGTCTTTGCTTGTTGAACTGAGTTAGAGTGAGACGAACTAGGTATAGCTGGAGCGGGTTTAACAGGTTTCGTTTGTTGTTGAACTACATGTACTTCACGGCGATCAGAAACACCACGTTGAACCATGGTAGTGTCATTCTGCAGATTAACTAGACGTTGATATTCGTTAGCAATATCATTTAGAGTAAGCTTAGGGTCTTGATCCAATCGACTGAGTAACCGTGTTCTAATGTCACCGAACTTTTGCGATTGGAGGCTGCAGATGAGAATGAGGGCCTTAAACTGATCTTCAGTTAGCGACTTCAACCGAAAGCGTTCGCATTCGCGGTTGACAATGCCCACATGCGTCAGAAAATCGGTGTCTTCGTTCATAGTCAGCTTCAAACATCGATAGCGTGTGTTGAACAGTGAGGAATTATCTCCGAATTGTTGGCTTAATGACTGAACAGTGTCTGAAAATGAGCGATCGCGTGGGTTTAGAGGCAAAATCAGGTTACAATATTTATCAAGTTCACTAGGACCCAGCTTTCGAAGCAGCAAACGGACTTTCCAAGCATCATCTTGATTGGCAAAATCAAATTTGAATAAATCTTCATACCGTCGGAACCACATATCAAACGTAACATTCGATTCAGGATCGTAATGAAACTCAGAAATACTGCTGGCAATACCATCAACTGAAGGAGCAGTAGTCGTAGGATTAGAGCTGCTTGATTGGCTATTGGTCGTAATTTTTGTTTCTGTTAGCATCTTGATAAGTGTCATCTGCTGTTCGAGCAATAATTCCACTTTTGCAGGATCCATATTTCCAAATCACCGTCGCCAATTGATATGTCGGAAGCGTTACGAATTCACTAGTAACGAACGGAACAAAGACACGTGACCAGAGACCGATAACTAGCTATACTGACGCGACCCAGACCCAGCTACTAGAGTAAGAAGTCCAAGTTGGAGCGGGGAAGTTATATTCCGTAGCAGCCAGAAGCACAGTAATCAAATAAGGGGAAAAGTCAAGCGTATTTATACAGCAACAATTTGTCCTTGGGCATCATTAGTAAATAGCACACATAAAGAAGCAATGGACCAATAGCGTTTAAGATAGTTTACAAGTGGGAAATATGACGTGAAGGTAAAAGAGCGCTTTTTGGCGCGAAAACAGCTAAATTCAAATTTTCAAAATAAAATTACAAGATTAAACCATTTACCAAGTAAGTTCTAGGGATTTAACATCCCTAACAAAATGATAAATAGTATTGTGTGCAGTACATGTAGAAATGTGAAACATTTATAGATTCTCGAATACAATAATTTACCTGAGGTTTGACGGGGCGTGATTTGGTAGACAGACCATATATTACGTAAAATAAATACTCATGAATTATTGAACGTCGACGCATTTTTGGTAACGCTGGCAATTTATGCAACACAATAGTCATAGCCTAAAGATAAAACAAATAAGTTAAGAGATTTGGATATTAAAACTTTTGTGTAGATGCGCTCATTATTCACCAGTTTACTTTTTTTAAAATTAAAACTGTGGAATTATGGGAGTAATCGATCAATTAGAAAATTGTATTTTCTAAAATGATAACTCACTTTAACGTTAAGAAAAAACTAAATTAGTTCATCCATAGATAAAAAGTTAACAATTACATTATAAAATCATCCTTACTGAACTAGTTATAAGTGTAATTATATTTAAAATAAACTCATTGTAAATTTAAGATTTATTTATTTATTTAAACACATAAGATTGGTACAAGGAAGCACCAGATACATATGCGCCAGACAAATCTCATTTGATTTGTGAGGGCTGTGATACTGCCCAGGTGCCCAAACTGAAGCAGGTGTAAAGTTAAGAACTTGCAATTGAATTTATTGATGTACATTTCCAATATTATACTCAATGAACGGTGATGAAACGATAATTTCATAATTCAATACACATACACACAACTTTTAAGATTCAGTAATCATACTACTTTGAGTAAAAGTATAAAATAGAGAGGTGGTTTGATGGTTAAGGTCTTTGACCTCAAGGTATGGGTTCACTATAGTCCAAGGTTTAAACTCGCTCCATATACTTCGGTTTGGATCACTGGGTAGTATCATCAGTCTTCACAATTAGAATGTGACTCATACCCAAGTACCTGGGGATGTGTCAACACATCATTGTGTCTATTGATCGCATAACCTATTCAGGTGCGTTTATGAAAAGTTTACGACCTTTCACTGTACAAGTTACAGAAAAATACAATCAGAGACATTGTGATGGCTGGCAATATGTATTGAAAAGAGCGAACATTATTCAGATCTCGATTCCTGCTAACACCCAACTGGTGATCACTCAATATTTATCGTCAGGATCGATCAACAAATAAGGAAAGGGAAGATAATGTTGAATAAAGCCATTAATAATAATAATAATAATAGTAATAAATGTAAACCAATACTAGTAATCAACAAAATTTTATTCATTATCACTAACTGGTGTCGACAGTTTTAATTCCAACTTTAAGGTTGGAAACAAGAGATAGAAGAAATAGCGGATTCTAAAAGAATTAAGTGAAATATGTCAGATTTGGAAAAGTCACACTGCTATTATCATAATACGATTTAGTCTTTATAAGCGGTTCCATAAAGCAGGTGTGTACGTAAACTCCATAATTAAATTACTGGACATTCATTCTATTTCCAGATACTTGGTCCTTGGACTGTGATTCACATTTAAAGCTAGTCAATCTATAAGTGTTAAAATATTTCATTTCAAAATCTCAATATCTTTGTGTATTTGTAACTTAATTTCAGTTGGAATATATCAAATGAATTGAGCTTCAGAAAAACGTGGTTGTGTAAAAGATGTAAAAAAAGCATATAGCTATAAAGCTGACAACCAGAGGTGGTTTACACTGTTGGAAAACTTATTGATGAAAACTATGGTAACTAAAAGAGTATAGGTATCGATGAAAATAGTATGTAATTAAAAATGATATAGTTATTAACAATTCCATACCTCAGATGACAAATGATCAACACCTTCGATCATTGAAACTTGATCAGCATTGAATATGACAGGTGAAGATTTCTCATTTTGTACAGGCAAATTACGAAGAGCTGCTAAATCCATATTTTTAATCGCTGTTAGTATTAATGGATCATCTTCTTTGACATCCGGTTGGCAAATAAAAGTAACCTATTATGAAAGGATAAAGTTTATGATCTGAGAAATTTTGTACTTTAGCCATTCATTTAGAACGGAATTAACGAAGTGGACAAAGTATAAGTCAAAAACAGAAATAAATAATATCACAAGTACATTATTGGATCAGATCGCTAATTTTAGAGTGCAAAAGAGATAGAATAAATTAGTATGACAAATAAGTACCATACCTTACAGTATACAAACTAAAGAAATGATTGAATCTAAACTCAAACTAGTGATGGTATGACACAAAGAAACGGGAAGTAAAAGAGAATTTGTTTTAAAAATGACATAATGAATCATCAAACACGCGGAAATCGCATACGTGATCTGACCATTAAGCCATTGAAGAAACAAAAAAAGGATTCTGTTAAAGTGCCTTGAACTGTTTAATATATTCAATCAAGTATTTTAAACTGTGATTCTATGCGTTTCAGTTACATCTACTTATGCTTACAAAGAAAGGTATGTTTAGCAAACTGAAGTCTCAATAAGACACCATGAAAATATTTGTATAAATGTTTAGTAAAAACAAAGGACGGTAATGTATAATACTAAATTATATTTTAAATCACTGAGAAAGATTAGCATTTAATCTAAATAATATAATGTGGGTTGTTAAAATACAACACAAAAACTTGAAAATACCTTTTCTGGAAAATGTAAGGCTAGAGAGATCGCCTGAACCACAATGAATCAAGGTGTTTCAAGTGAATTAATTCTTGGAAATAAAAAAACCACAAACTTGCTGTCATTTTTGTGATTTTCTACGGTTAATTACATCCTACTAAAATTTATGACACTAACTGATGTGCTACTATATTTTAGTCAATCAATTAGTCTGAATTAATGATATTCCATATTTCCAAGTTTGATCTTGTTGATAAATTACTGTCTGATCATAAGTGAACGCGAAACTCGCTTAAATAAATGTTATGGTATTTCAGATTTAAAAAATCTGGTAGAGAGCATTGTTTATGCATAAAATATTTCAAATAAATCCACTCTAAAATAAAGAGACGTATCATATACAACCTAGAATCAACTTACGTCTCCTTTCAGTGATTTCGTTTTGATTATGATAGCCAGTTTTGATTGAATTAGTTCATCCAAAATTCTACGTAACGATTTGCGGTCCATACGAATTTTTAAGCCAATCGAACGTTCATGATCCCATATCAACTGACGCAGTGAGTATTCAGAAGCAATTATACGATATTTTGACAAATAATTGAGGACGAATGCTCGACGGTTTTGCCGTTGTGTTTCTGAAGAAAGTTAATTACGCAAACTATGGTTAATTAAAATAGATGAGGGGAAAATGTAATACAGCTTATTTATAACAATAATGTGATGGAAAAATTGACGTTTCATACGATCAAACGAACAGAAAACATTGCAGGATGAAGTCCATTAGCTTTATCTATGCACTCGAATCCTTCTATATATACATCAACTTTTAGATAAGATGTAATTTACAACGTAAACATCATAAAATTCAAAACTATAATCCGTTAAAAACTTATTGTTACCCAACATATTTGTAAACAAAAAGGAAGACCAAAATGTAACTAGGATGAATAACTTTATCTTCGAATGTGGTTACAGGGCTAGAAATGAATAATACTTATTTACGTATAAATTAATTGAACAAGATAGTTTTCTAATTCACGGTTCAAAGTCACAGTGTACAGATAATATGAAGGTCTAACAACTGATTAACACTCTACACGCTCACTCATAAACTAAACATAATCCTAATTATTTAAATCGACATTTAAGTTAAAGTTACGTAACAGATTCTTATGCATCTACGGAAACGCTAATAATTGGAATTAACGGTTTCCCTGCATCCTATAGAAAAGTAGAGAAATAATGGTAAATTAAAATAGCAAAAATGACTACAACTTACGAACGGTTGGTAATATTTGTAAAGTTGAAGACTTGGTTAATTTATCTTTCCGAGCTTCTATTCTGTCAATGTCAGTGAATAGGCTATAGCTATCGATCAGAAGTTAAAAGAAAAGAATTGACCAGAATATCAATAAAAATAATTTGACAAAAAAGAGTTTATGTTGATAAAGTTTATGTTCATATATATGAACTAATTAATAAGTATAACATAATACGTTTATTTTTCATTAATTAATCCCATTATTTTCTTTTTAGCGTAACTATCTAAAAGAATTATAAACACAATATATAAATTGTTGGTAAGAAAACAGCGCCAAATGCCCAGATACGCTGAGAGTGGGGAGAGTCAGTCAGATGCAGTTCCATGGAAGTCAGTGACCAACAATTGGTTCATACGCCATTTGTTCTCTCGGAATCCTGGAGCCCATGTGCACCATTGGTTTGGAATTTAGGGTTTTCCAACTCCCCTAGATGGATCCTCCATATCCACCTACCCGGTTAAAGCTCCGGACATTCGATTTTCGTTCCATCGATTTCGTAAGCAACATCCCCGTCACAAGAAGGCAGTGAGTAAAACTTCCTTGGTGGTGTTTTTGGTGTATGCTACTTGTGTCTGTTAACATAAGCAGTATGTAACACCGATCGGAAGTGGAAGACCTGACAGCAGGAGGCTAAGAAGATCGAGTTGAGGAAAATAAAAGTGAAATTAGAAAGAAATCGCGAACTTGAAGAATCACGCAGAGTATGAAGGACAAATGATGGAAATTTGAAGATGAAGTATTCAGTGTATGGTTCCTATGTTTTACCAAGATACTCTGTAATTTTGTATTAAAGTGTAGTGGTTGTCCCCGCCTGTTTTCTCGTTCATAACACTACCACCAACTACGAATACTGAACCAACCTTCTTAAAACCACGTATACCATTAAAACTGACCTCCTTCAATGTTCACACACTAATGCAAATGAA